AGGATGCCCAATTCACTTTTGTGCATTGATATCCACAGTAAAGCCTGACTTTTCACTCTGGAAACATTGCACCATCTTCATACAAATAATTTCCTTTACTTTTCCAATAAGTACTGAAGTAAAGGATAGAAATAAAAGGGTAGAAACTGTAAATCAAAAGCTGTATTTTTATAAATTAAATGTGAAGACGTGTCAAATTAAAGGGGCATTTATATACATCGTTATGGTGACTTTTCCATTACACAGACAGCTCAAGTACTTTTACGAAAACATTAAGTGGTAAATTCACCTGAGAATAAACATAACAAATGTGCTTGTGCACACACATATATACGCACAAGTGCTATGTTTACAAGTGTGTCAGTAACCTGGTAGCCATTACTGAATTAAGACTAGTATACTAAGTCACCCCAGATTTCAATTATATTTATACATAAATTGTGCATTTATAAAAACCTTACAAATAATTCTATCTTCCAGGAAGACATTATAGGTAACAATCTAACACATGTAGTAAAAAACATTTTAAATTCTTAAAATCACAGATTAAACAATTCAATAATTGTATGGCCACCATGAATCAAGAATTTTATGAATAAAGACTTCTCTTTATGTCTGAAATAACACGTCCTTTAAATTACTTGTCCTAACACATAGTTCATGTGGTATTGTCCTAATGCAAGGGAAGTAAACATTTTGAAGTCTGTTCTAAATCCCCACACAGATTTAAATTAGTACTTTATCAAGAAATTTCTAAAGTATTGCCAAAAATTAGATCTCTAGTGAAATCATGCAAGTTGTTTGCAAACAAATGGGTGATTGATTACATTTAACTGACAATCTTACAGAGACCTGAAAGGAACTTAGTTCATAGTGTACCGTGTGGAGTTCGGGAGTACTGTGAAGGATCTAAATCTCATCCGCAGCTGAGGTGGAAGTCCACTTGTCATAAGAGACAGTAAATGTTGTAATTGGGAACAAACGTGTATAATTTTTTTTTCAGGAAATATTAATACTTACCTTTGCCACAGTAACAGCCTAGCTTGTTTTAGAAATGAAACACCAAGTATTTTTAGAAGCAGATCATAAGATTCCAATGACTGGGATAATCAAAGTGAACCAAACATTTGGCCTAATAATACATAGCAAATGGATACATAAAAACACCAGGTCCCACATTAAATGCTGTAACATTTATATATTTCATTTTAGTACTGTATTTCATTTTTAAAATGTAGACAGCAAAAATATTCACATTTAAATTTAAACTCCATACAGAAATTATCCTTTTATTCAAGAAAACAGCTTATATAAGTTACCAAGAGAAAATCAAACAGGAAATTTCCTTGGGAGACCCATTCAGCTGAACATTTCTCTTCACAATAGAGTCTAGTGAAGTAATTAAAGAGGTTTCAGGTGTGTTTCTATCAGTAGCTCATTCAAGCTGAGTTATGCGTAAAGTTCTCATAAATGTGTACATCAGGAAGCTGTAATCACAATTCCTGACAAGACCAGTATGAAGAAGCTAAATCTGGGCCTGGGGCTACCCCTGCTTATAAATAGTTCCATATAGTATAGTGCTGTGTCACTCTCTTTCCATCCCAAATAACTTTTACCAGCTACTTTACTACTGAAATAAGAAGTCACAAGAAAGAATTGCTCACTGTTTATCAACTGTGCGATATAAAACATCACGGTAGAGATGGGGTTTACGAGAAATTTTCTACTGCCACCGCCCCCAACAAGCACACATGGAGTATGCAGAATTGAAGTGGCATTAACAATGGCTCACCACTCCTACTTTTCCACTATCTCTCAGACTTGCAAATGCTTAAAATTGGAAACACTATTTTAAGCAAACATAGGTTTTGCTTCTCATATCGGAGACATTTGGTCCACCAAGAAGGAATACGAAGGACCAATCCTATTTGGCAACCAACTGTGTCCTCGCGTCACTCCTCCCCCTCCACCATGTACTCATGGGCTGCTTGCCTCAGTTAATGTTTCCAGGAAAGAGAACTACAGCACCCAACGCTCAGGAACAAGAAGCTGTCGAGACTACATTCAGATATCACGTAGCTCTGACCCTTACACTGCTTATGACGAATAGTGATAAATAAGCAATGAAAAAGCAATTGTTTTCCTCGGGAAACCACCACCAGAACTATGTACACTATGAAGGGATGGATTCGCCGAGGTTGAGAAGGGGAAGATGCTCAAGCTGTGTTTCTTACCTCCCAGGATGAGAGGCAGGTGTGGAGAAACCATGCAAGACACAAAGCTCTGTCTGCTGAGGTGACATTCCCGGGAAGAGATGGAGAAGAGGTGGAGGCGGGCTGTGGGGCTACTCATCTACCAAACTGAATCCACTTATTCCGCCTGCTTCAAGGCCGAAGGCTGCTCGCCTGAATGGCCCTTTCAAATGCAATGGAGTTCAGATACTTTACAGAATCATGAAAGGAGAAAAGGAAGAACTTTTCTCCATTTAATTTCTGTAGGGACAGCTGTGCCTGAGCACTTTCCATGGCTGCCGGGGAACAGAGATGATATTAGTTTTTCGGCAACTGAGAAATCTTAACCTTAGATGCTGGCTGTAAAATTCTGTTCACTAGCAGTGGAACCCAAGCTGGAACATTTGGAAGGAGTGCTGATTCGTCCATCAGGTTTGTGGTTTGAGGTCAGTGTGCCCACAGGCCTTTGTTCCCAGTGGGCATCTTTGCTGGAAGAGAGTCAGCTGGTTAAGAAACATGCACAACTTAGGCTGATGTGTGTTTTCAACGTCACTGAACCACACAGGACAAAGCAGAGTAAGAGGAAATGATGCTTACACCTACTTCTTATTTTCAATTTTTTTTATGTGCATGTCATGTTTAATGTAGGTGAGGATTGCTGATTTCATTACTGTAAGATGAAATGTGCAAAAATAACCCTAGCAAGCAGCATATACATCAAGACAACACAAATGTGCCAACAGTTGTGGAATGTATAAGAAAATGTTAAGACATTCTGACCAGAAAAATAATAAGGTGAAATCATTAAAATCTAAACAAAATCAATACAGTGATATTGTTTACCGTCCAGGCAACAAAGTTACCTAGCTGTAAAAATTAAGCATTACCATATTTTCCTGTTGTGAATGTAGTTTTGTCTTAAATATGACTCTTAAGTTTTTCAGGATATTTACAATTTGGAAATAGGTTTTTTAAATCTGGATTCCAAGAAATGATAAATTGATTGCTACATGTTGAAAACACACAAAACAAAAAGCCATTTTACCTTTTTATCTTTGACCACACAGGTTAGAAGTGGCACATGATGCCATTTATATCATTTATATTCTAGAACTATTCCCAAATAAGGGCAAATGAAATTAGGTTCATGTTTGTGTGTATGTGTGTGTGTGAGAGAGAGATAAGAAACTTTACTTTCTCTCTCAGAACATAAATGACAGAAATAAAAGATCAGTAATGATGGATAGAAGAGCGAGCAAATGTTTCAAGTTCGGCATTATGAGATCGATCTTACTGGAGCTTTGTATGATCATCACAGAAAGCGAAAGTTGCGACTGTTCTTGGTGATACAGGTGAACATACACAGTCATCTTCAGATTACTTCGGCACACAGGAAAGGACTTTCTGTAGCAACTGTCTGAGACAGGCCCGGCAGCCTGCCAGTTCAAGGCTGCTCTCTGGTGCATTGTAGGCCTACATTCATTGTGCTATGAATTATGGCTCCTATATTGTTGTCTAGATCTGCAGTGTAAATCTACTCCATCTTCTTTATCCTCTGTTGATCTCCCAGCAACACTGGCATGCACAGCCAAAAAAAGTTTTTTTTTTTTTTTTTTTTTTTTTTTTTAATTTTCAGATAGAAAGAATTGCTGTGGATTTGAGAGAAATAAATCATCTAGAACCAAGAGCTGGCAAACACAGTGTCAACATTTTCACTTATGCTACAGTCCCAAAGGAAAGGGAGGAGTCCTCTCTCATGAGACTGAACCGTGCCTTCTCCAAGCAGGGTAGTGATCAGTAGTTATCTGTATCTCAATGACAGCAGAAAGGCTCACAGAGTTATCTTTTAGATACATAATAAACTCTTATGCTTTTCGTATTAGGATTTGGTGTTTGGATATAGGATTAAATGTAATCTCAAAGATCTGGGAAGTGTCTATAGCAAGGTACTCTCATATGGGAGATAATTAAGAACTATTTCTTTACTCCCTTCTAAACTGTCAGACACATGGTGGACAGCTAGCCAGCTGCAGTCAACACAAGTTACACAGATAATCTGTCTCCTCGTGCAAGCCCTCTGACCACAGAGCAGAGCAGACAGGACATGCACTCTGCCACCAGGCAGCAGGGACACCATAAAGAAAAGGGACCCAGCAGAGGCAGCAGGGACACCTGAGAAAAAAGGGACCCAGCAGTTCGGCTCCAGCAAGAAAGCCACTGTGTAACAAAAACCAGACCCCCGGAACCCTCTAGTGTCCTAAGACTGTTTTCTTTCTGGGGCTGAGAGCCTGAATCAAGTCAGTGTACTGACTGTTTTCATGTCTCTGTGGAAGTGTTCATAGGAATTCTGAATAAAAACGATACTATTTCTTACTGTGTATTATTACAAACTTAGCTCTAGATCCCTGTGAGAAGTCACAAATTCAATCAGGTGGTTTTGTTATCACTTTTGGATTTTATCATGTTAAGGAGAAAATGTGGTGCTAAAAATATGACCACCCACGTCACTGTATTGCTACTGTCTAGGTAATTTGAGTTATCGAGTGATTTCTGCCTCATCAAGCAAGAACTCACTTTAAAACAGTTATTGCAGAAGCACAGTGTGTGAGGCCCCAGCTGAGTGCTGACGGAGTGTCTTCCGTAGGTGCAAAGTGCTGCTCTGTGTGCACAAGGTGACCGGGCAAGAGCCTGGCTGGACGGGAGGCCGACGGTGCCTCTGCACGCGGCTCACTCTGGGCTCAGAGGCAACTTTCACCAGACACGCGTGAGTGAAAGCTCTCAAATAAGCGATTTTATTCCTATCCATGATTGCAGACATTTACAAAACCATAACATCTGAGTTCACCTTAAAAAATAACTTATATAAAGCAGTGATGTACACAGCACAAAATAGTTCAGGGAAGGGCAGGAGCAACCTTTAATAATTAAAATGTAAACGTGAAAAAAAGGATGGAATAAAAGTCCCTACTTACTTCTACTTAAGATGTCATGTGATAATGTCTTACAATGTCCTGTGGGTCAAGGCATGTATGCGTATATGTGCATACAGATGTGCATATACGATACATTCTCTTTCCCACACATATACATACACAGATAATCATTTGCAGTTCAGTTTAGGGCAATTCTAATGTGCCACTCCATACAGTTGTTTGAATCACATTTGGACCTGCTTTCTTCACCACATCTGGGAGAGAGCAGGAATAAACGGTCGGTTTGGCTGACTGAGACTCCTTTGTGTAACTGTCCACTGATGAGTAGTTTTCTTCCATAGTAGTTCTGTGAAGGGCTGACTCGAGAGGGTTCTCATGAGGAGACGCAGCAATGGATCACACACTCATGGTCATGCTGGGGGAGTACTGCAGGGACAGAAGAACCCAGTGGTTAGCGGCAATGCCAATGTGCTTCTAGATGGCGAAGTTTAGTTTCTATGACATTTAGGCATGCTCCTTTCACCTCAGGAAAGTGAGAAGCTGTAATGAGGAAGTCTATATGGATTCATTTAGTTGTGAATTAAATTATTTCCTCTACAAGGTCTGATTTTTTTCCCCCCAGGACTTAGATAATTACTCAGTCCTCAGACACTCCTCAGTCAGGTTACGATTCTGCAGACACTTATAACACTCTGGACAACTTTAGTGCAAGGAAGGATCACAGTGAAGAGAGTCTGAGGCCTTTCTTATATATAGCTGAGTGAATGGGGGACTTCCTGAACTCAGTCTTCTCACCTTTACCACAGCTTTTCTGACAACACCAAGGAGTCTGGGGAAGATTAAATATAAAATCCTCCAACTCTACACTTGATTAGATGCACAGAAAGTGCTCAGTATGTTTTCAGTGCAAGGAAGCACAAGAGAGCTCTACTAAGTCTCACGGGAACACCAGATGCTCCAATGTGTTAGCACAGATGCCTGGTGCGCACACACACATGGCCAGGACTCCGGGGTTAACGCAGTGCACAAAGCAGGGACTCAGCACAACAGTATGATGAGGCTGACAAAGTGACACGGGGTGAGGCTGCGCTGCGGACAGCGCAGTGCCGGGCCATCTAGTAGAGACCAGCACTCCTCACAGACGGAACGGGCTATGGCTGAAAATGGTTTCTAAATTAAATTAAGATGTGAACCTCGCAATATTTTAGTGTTTGGTGGAAAACCTGCAAAAACACTTCAAAGGGTAATTTCTTTCAGTGTTCTACTAATGAAAGCATCTCTGGATGAGAGGTGGGTAAAGTCCAAAGGCTCCACAATAAGGACCTGTGGCTATGTGGGCGGTGGGACATAACTTTTTAGAAAGTTGGTAGAAAGGAGGTGATGGGAATTCCAGGCAAGCTGGGATGGACTACAGGTGTGAGCGGAGGTTCAGATGAACTGAAATGAGAAGAGGTCCCCAAGTGAGCACACACGTGACAGGGTATCGTCCTCTAAGCCACAAGTCATAAGGGCATAACCCCCAGAGCACTGTTTCCACCAAGGAGAACCTATTTGTCCCTCAATAGCCTCATCTCTGTGTTGGCACAAGGAAGCTAAGTTAGTTAAGTAGTTTAACTGACTCCTATGTTGGATAATATGTAGCACTGGACAATAAAAACAAAGGGAAGAGGGAAATGATGTAATTGTATTATAATCTCAAGGAATAAAACATATCAAGAATACATTCTAACTCAGAAAAAAAGGCAGGATGAAAAAAAGCAAACCACATTCCACCTATCATGTATAAGAAATTCTTGGAGCTGCCCTGTGCTGAAAAGGGAACACACCCAATCCCATGGCAATGTGACACACACACGGTTTCAGATCACCAGTGACCTCAGCATGCTGCAATATATTACTCACAGTGACATGAGAAAACTATATGTAGTTATATATAAACTGTAGCGTATAGTGATCATCAGAAACAAGAACCAGCAGTAAGAAAACTGGAGGGTGAGTGTTGACAGCACAGTGGGCATGGATGCGGTTAGCCCAGGCTTTCCTCAGTTCCTGTAGCTGCTGTAAGAACCTGTGATGACGGAGTACATCTACTCTGTCCTGGCCAGCATAAGGTCCATATGCGTGTGGCTTCTAAGGTCTTGAAACGCAGCCACTGAACGTTCAGAAGTAAAAATGTCCATGTGTTTAGCTTTAATCAAATATGTAAATGGCATGGCCAGATCACCAGCACCGCTTTAAAATGAAGGCTGTGTGGAGTGGTGTGTGTCGGTGACCTAAAGCTCAAGGAAGGATGTTTCCTGCAGAGCCTCACAGGAAATGATTCGGAAAATGCCACGGACCCTTCCACTGAATGTGCAGCCTGGGCGGTCTGGATCTAAGACACTCTGGAATCCTTTCTTCCTAAGTAGCATTCCAGCTCACCCACATATCACTTAGCATTAGGGGGAACTATAAAATATGAACACAGTTTATGCTAATAGACATTGCCCAATGATGGACATGTGCACATGGTCTTTTGTCAAGTGTGTTATTGCTATTATTATCCCTTTATGCTAGCTGCTGTTAAAACGTGGTAGACAAAATGTCTTGAGAAAACTTACAGAAAGGAAAAATATTGCTGATGTGTCGGGAAGTTAGAAGAAGTCCATAAAAGAAACTGAGGGGGGAAAATTAGGTGCAGAGAAACTGAGGGTGAGGCTCAGTCAGAAAGGACCGAGGCATCAGCTCCAAGAAATAAACCTCACAGAGCTTACAAGAAGTTAATGAAGTTAGTTTCTGCATAGCACACAGAGCTGCAGACTGACATGTGACTGTCTCTGGCGCAAAACAGGGTACGTTCACGCCTGTGCTGTGTCACATGCTCTCCTCAGGCGTAGACTGCTCACTGTCCCCTTTCTATTACTGAAACTATTTCAAGAAAATGAAACTAAAGGGAGCTATAACACTCTAGAAAAGTTCCTGGAATGCAAACAAGGAGGAGCATTCCACCGATCACACTCTTCAGAGTGCTGAGGAAGCAGTCCACCCCTTCCCGGGAGGGAGGGTGAGTCCATACTAAGAGACAGGCTATTCCCGGTGTGTGGGCTCACTCCATTTCTGCTGTGCTGTTACATCAGTACACATGACACACAGTTAGGTTTATGCCACCGTGCTGTGATACCAGCTTGCACTGTTTGAAACTATTCAGCTAGTCTGGTTTTCCTCAGAGGATAAAATGCCCCTTTATCTATTGACAGCACTCTTGTTTGTCTTAGGGAATGTAAAACTATTATTTTAAATATATACATATTTTATCTGTTTTTGAGATAGCAAGTCCTAGTATGAACTCATGGCATTTGTTTTCCTTCTTACCATCTAATTAATGTTCCACAGAATCAGACATAAAATTTGGCTGAAGGATACTTTAGATCACACCATGTTCTAAGTCTCGGTTTCTATAAATATTTTGTTTTCGTAATGAGCACAATAGTAAGGAACAGTTCTTCTCCTCTGAATACAACAGGAAATGACTTGAATGTTGATGTGACTACAAGACACGGCAGAGCTAGACAATGAAGAAGAGAGGGAGGGCTGTGACCAGCCTGTCAAAATCTAATAGCACGCACTCATCTGATTATATAGACTAAGGTCACAAGGAAACAGTTTTCCAAATTAATGCAACAAATTAATCCAACTGCTGACTTCTCATCTGAACTCTTTGTATCGGCACCTTCAAAACCAAATATTTACAGCCTCTGAACACGAGGAGGCAGCTTTGCTTCTTGAAAGAGTCTTGTTCATTTTGCTCTGCCAATCATGCGTGCTGTGCTGGCTCTGGCCTTTGGCATTTTGGTTTTGATATAATTAATGAAGTAGCGTGTAGGAAGAGAATTGGGCACTATCTAGTATACAGTAAACTCCACAGAGTTGTTCCCTCTTACGCTGGCCTCTTCATGGTTTAACTTCTAGGGAAAGACTGACAGATCCTCAAAGTCAGACTGCTCAAGTACATGTGCTTTCAGCCTTCGGATCTAGACTTTGAACATCTGAACTGGGATTCCTGAATGCACTAAGCAGTTCCACATTTTCTCAGTTACTTTGCACTAAAGTCATTGGAGATCCCTAGTTCTATCACTTCCTTCAATCCAATGTCTGTCAACACAGAATCTCTTGTCTATCTTCCCCCTCCTTTCACTGCTTGGCCCTACTGTAAAATATATAAACAAAACGTGTGGTAATATTTACATAGAGACAGTACTGAGTGCACAGAGTGGGCAGGGGAACATGGGGGTGGGGGACAGAAAAGAATTAGAGGGAAGTGAAGGGGGGTAGATTTGATCAAAACACATTATATGCATACATGAAATTCTTACACAATAAAAAACATGGTAATATAAAGGAAGACACAGATAACAACGACACCAGCTACAGTGACATCTCCTTACTAGACAGAGCAGAGGACGGCGCAGCCAGCATGACTGAGCACAGACTTACTCCTCCTGCCTGCAGGGGCTGTCAATCATCCCCCCCGCCCCCCGCCCCGTGTTCAGTCTCTCTAACCATCAGCCAGGTGGTGACCCAGTGTCTCTGGCTGCTATCCACTTATTTTCCCTTCCTGATCCCTCCTGCTGGGGCCAGGACAGAGGCAGGAGGAGAAACCAGGAGCCTTGTTTTCAGTTCTGCCAGGAGTTTGACTTGACACTGCACCTCCTTTCGAGCTCAGGGCAGCTGGGCTGCTTCAGCTGTCCTCAGCCCCTCCTGCTCTAAGTGTCCAGGAGGACTGGCTCTTCTGCTGGACACAGCTTGCTGGTAAGTGTGAGCAGGGCTTACCCTGCTCACAGTTCTGTTCTGTGATTCTCTGCTCCCCTAGTTTGTGTCACCTTTGTAAGGGTCAAGAACAGTAGCACCAACAAATATGAGAAGCGAGGAGAGGATGCCTCTTGTTCATGCCCTTCATTAAAGTCACATGGAACTACCTTCAAAACGTTTACTTCCAATCTCTAACTAATAATTCCTCTGACCTTTGAAATATCCAATTTATATCAACCCTAGCATTTATTAAAATATTTTAATTTAAAAAGTGACACAATATATTTATGTATCACCATGTAATATTTTCATACTATATTATAGAAAGTTCAAATGGGGCTAAATATACCTATGTCCTTAAATAATGCATTTTTCTGCAGTGAAGACATTAAGGTCCTCCCTCCTGGCCTTTGGGGAATACACTGTATATTATCATTATCTTTCATTTATTTCTTCTGCTTAACTGCAGCTCAACGTCTCTCCACTGCCCTGCCTTTCCTGCTCATCACCTGGGCTCACAGCTTTACAAACTCTGGCTTGTGACTCCAGGTGGGGCCAAGGAAGCAAACACAGCAGGGATTTAGCAACAGGAAATTCTTTTTCTGAATATACAGTAACCAAAAATTAGTGCAAAGTCAAAAGCAAACGTGTGCTGAGTGTGAGGCAGTTCTGGAGCGCCAGGCGGAGCGCACGGTGAGGCTGGCTGAGGCCTTGGTTTTGAGCAGCCACGTGGACTTTGCAGTTCCTGTGCTACCACACCAGGCAGCAGCTCAGCTCAGAACATACCAGTTCTGTTTTCACCATATATACAAAATTTTCTGCCTTTATAAATACAATAATTATGGAAAACAAAATTTTTTAATATTTTCCTCCAGTCATTCACTAGCATGTAAGTATCAAGTTAGTATATTTTAGGATAATAATCGCTACATGATGGCTAATTAAAAAAAAAAAAAAAAACTGCTGTTTGAGTTGGCAACCTGTTGCTATAAAAATGAGTAACTGGACTTTTGCTTGAGTTTTACAGACAATTTATGAGATGGTCCTAAACATACATCAGCTATCTTCTATCACACGTGTGTGAAATACATTCTCAGTGTTGATGATTATAGAACAGAAGTATCAATCAACTCTGAAAAATAAGATTTTCTAAGTCCTGTAGCAACAAATATTCAGCCAAATCTTCTTTATGTAAAAAGCACGTAAGACAGCACTTGGAAGACAAAGGCAAACAGATCTCTGTGAGTTCAAGGCCAGCCAGGTTAACATAGAAGTTCTAGGTCAGCTAGAACTACAACGAGAGGCCTTATGATAAACACACACACACACACACACACACACACACACACACACACACACACAC